AACCTTCAACCGGGCTTTGGATTGCTGCTTGTTCTTGTGGAGAGATTCGAGCAAGCTACTGATCGGGAGGGTCATCGGCCAGAGCATCTTTGTCGGGCGAACAATGATGTCACGGAGCAAGCCGGCAATGCCATATCCGATGAGTTGGGAGGACAAAGTGATGAACACACCGGCTGCATGGCTCGGGTAGCCGCCGTAGTACAGCTGCTGCACGGCCAGCGCTTCGGTGGCCAAAGCCGACTGAGATGCCGCGGAGGCCATCAGGGCAATGGCGGCATGTTCCTTGGCATTAAACGGCCCCGGGTTCAGAAGGCGTCCAATCCAACCGCGACGAGGGATGGCATACGCCATGCCCTCACCAAGGACATAGGCGATGACGGTCAAAAAGACCTGCGAGACGCAGATGACCTGCGGTAGAAGATCTCTTGGAGGACGCCACCGAAGACGGACAGGCCAACACCTGCGACGCGTGTCAGAACCACGCTGCTCATACTAGGCACATCCAGGGTGCACGTACCAAGGAACAGCATGCGGAAGGTCCAGGGGTAGATGCTCGGATCATCCTCGACCTGGATGACGTGGGTAACCAGATCATCGGCGCTGCCGACAACGTCGCTCGAGTTCTCGTAGTCGGGGAGGAGCTCGGGCGATTGTCCGGTTTTGACATCGTCCTGGGGGCCCTTCTCCAGTGAGTAGACCTTTTCGGGGTCGCTGGAGCTCTTTTCGTCAACGCGCGCCACTCCCTCGACCTCTGCTTCTGGGGTCGCCATCTTGTCTTGTCAAGCAAAGGGCAAGAGAAAAGTCGCAGTTCTGCAGAGCTGCTCAGCGGGAGAACGGGAAGCACGCAGCGGGCTATTATGTATGCAAGACGGCGACGCGCGCAATGACCCCCTACTAGACGACGCCGGTCATGTCAGTAAATTAATTGGTAACCATGTGATGAAGTCAAAACAGAGCAGCGCGATAAGGACAGCAGTGCTAGAGAGAGGGACACCAACTGCGGAGAACTCCGGACGCTGCAGGGACTCTGGTTGGGTATTCACCACGACCAATGCGGCAGGTGAGTAGCAACCGTTTGGAGTTGGTGCTGGCTGATCTCGCTGCAGCTTGGACCGGTGCAACGTCGAACAACGACGGTGATTATGTTTTGCACATGATTGGTGGTTGCAATGGCGGCAGCATCTGTGGAGCGTATGATCCAGACCTGCGCAAGCGCAGTCGGGGGTGGTTTGGCTGCTGAGATAGCGCTAGATCCACCTGGCCGGCCATGATGGTGATAAGAACCGGGGCGATGGCGACGACCAGGGAGATGGGTCGCACTCGTCCATGACATTGACCCTTTCACAGTCCGTGCCTGCTGACAGGGATGCCTTCAGAGAGCCCGTCCTGTGTAATTCATCAGTGATCGCTGATCGGGCTCGATAAAAAGTCGATGAGAGAGCGGTCGTCTACAGACTGCTGGTTCTCCGGGGTCGGTGGGGGATCGACGACAAGCATTGTAGCCAAGTTCGCTAGGCCCACACGGCGCCAGTGAAACTCTGCCATCAGGAGCTTGGTATACAGTCCACCATCTTCTATTGGACGATTCCTACGCCTCTAATCCCCGCATCTCATCTACGGAATAATTTTGCCGCGTAGTTCCATCGAAACTCGACCGATATGCGCGCAGGGGCAACAGAGCGGTCGTACAACTAATATTGTGAATTACGCAGTGTCAGAGGAATATGTCAGACATTAGGTTTTGACTTTATCTTGGTCGCACAATGACTAAAAGTCTACAGTCCAGGGGTCAATGGCTGCGATAACGAATCTGATGTCGTGGGAACTTACGCACGTGACCCAGATCTCGATCGGTGGCGCCGCACGTGGCTGACACATGATCAATCAATTGCTTCCATGGAAGAAAGTAAGGTATCTCAGGCACTCCTCCTAATAATACTCCATCCGCTCACGATACTCTGATTCAGCCTGATCAGCTAGTTCGCTTGAGAGTTGGGTTCCTTTCCGCGAGCACGTATGAGCTCCGTAATTGTATCTAACTTCTCTGATACATCCTGGAAGAGTTCCCCCTGCATCTCTACGACTCGCGTGAGTGCCTCCACCCGAGCCTCAAGTTCTGCAACACGTTTCTCTCTCTGCTCCAGCGTGTTGCTTATTTTGTTCAGCGTTTCTATCATCGCCTTGCCACGCTCTATCTCGACGACCATCCTCGCTGAATCTTCGAGAGAGGAAGGATAATTGGGACCAAAATCGTTAACGTCTTCCGGGGCAGTCCCTGCGCGTCGTTTTCGGGGTGGTTGCGACGCGTGTGGCTCAGGAGTCTTATATTGTCGATGGCCGTCGTTGTGACCTCTGTGTCAGAACCAGAGCGCTCCTAGTAAAAGAAAAGCTGCTATGCAACTTCAGACAGAGAATAATCAGTAAGGCGATGAGGATGAGGATAATACTAGATAGTGGATTCAAATAGTGAGACTGTTTACCTAGACTTTAAACTAACAGACTGACCAGCCATGGTCGTAAACCCTGGTGTCATTGTCCGACAAGACGATCGGTCAGTCACCTGATCCGGAAGAGAGGCTGGATATCACTGAAAACGATGGATGGCCATTTACTGGTAACGCTATGTGTTTATCATTTTCAAACCCAACGCTAATGCTAACTAACTACCTTAAAGACGTCTGATAATACAGTGTTTCGAGCTGCGGCAGCATATCTTCAGGTATTATAAGTCTCTCGAGATAGTTTCTGGTCATCTCGACACAATCCTTATGGAGAACGTCGTTCTTAATTGGATCTAGGTCATCGCTGTCTGCATCGGGCCGGCGTGGTTCAGGTCAAGTTTTAGATTTGTCCGGCTCGCTGTTAGGCGTCAGATGTTGCAGAACGGTAACTGCAGTTATTCTAGGTGCCGGTTGCTGCATTCAATACCCCAGTTTTTGCTCCGTGCGGATGACATGAGTCTCACTTCGACTTTTACCTAGACTCACCCCAGATTCTAGTTTGGCGCCATCTCCAGATTTTTAATGGAATGAATACAGGTTTCCAGGGAATCATTTCTCCCATCATGAATACATGTATCTTGACTCGTAAGTATGGCAACAAGACCCGTGATTGGTTTCTCAAGTCGACGAATGCGAGCCGTTTGGCTGGTTGATCTCATCTCGAAATGATTTGCTATGTCTGATGTCAAAAAGTATGTGATCGTCGCAACGAGGGATACGTTCGCGATCAAGTCGTCTTTGGCGACAAATCAGAAAAGAAGACGATGTATGCCTATGCCCCCTGGGAGTGGTTTCTCTGCATGATCAACGGCACAAAAGAGCGACTGGAAATCAATGTCGTGGAAACTAAGTACGTCCCTGGCGGGGGTCGTCAATGGCGGGACCATGACAACGGAATCCAAGATGTAGTCGACAAGAAGCAGAAAGTGGTGTATTCGATGTTTAGGCAGCCCCACGAAATCCCCCTTCCTGAAGCCAATCTGATTCGATCTTGTTCCCTATTTCAACATCAGCGGTATTACTTGATGTGAGCCAGTCGATGAAGGGGTAACCCCGATATTGGCGCACCTACACCGATTACCATCATTCTCTTCAGTCTTTTTGGGAAATGGAAGCAATTCTCACACCTTTGCACCTCCGAGATGTCTGCAGCCACTTCCTGTTTCGAGGCTGAAGCAGATAGGTGAGCCGCTCAGCGTTTGTATGCAAAAGAACTGACAGGCCATCCTGCTTGATCCTTGATAGAAGCATTGTCCTATGGTCGTTTGGCCGGCTGATTCTGTTGTGAACGGAAACTGGGTTCTTCGCTGGAGAAGATAGGGTATCTCATCTGATGCCCGCATCTACTCCCAGTGTATTCTCAGTTGGTAGACTTTGTGTCAATTGGCCTTTCGAAGGTTGGAAGGAAAGGAGAGCTCGAGTGCAAGCAGCTTGAAGTATGCAAAACGCAGCAGAAGCCGTCGATGGAGGGATCACTTTATAAAACAACTAACGATTGCTCATCTGGTTTAGTTGCAGGACTGCAATTGAAATTAATAATCCATACTCGAACTTGTCTGGAGAATTCATTCCGTACTCCGTCGGATATGACCTACAAATCAATGGCCAATCGGCTTTTTGTTTTTTGCGTCGCTGGTCTGTTATCCCCACTAGCCCGTTGCCTAGAACTGGTCGCTTGCGTCGATCGCTTAGCGGGGAAATCTGACAGTGCTTCCGAATCACGCTACAGCACTCCATCGATTTTGGCACGAGCTTGACAACTTTCTTTGCGGCACGACTCTCCTCCGCGAAGGGAAAAAAACACTCGCAAGTTTTGGTTCCTTGAAAGAGCGGCCTGATAGAGGATACCAAAGACTTGCTTGATTATGCGAGATATGTGGAAGGCGGCTACATGGATTCTCCATGATGAAGATGGAAGATGGCACGATTGGAAGTCTCGAAGAGGCGCTAATCTCCAAATGAGAAGCAGCGGGGATGAGCCAATGAGATCTTGCAAGCAACACTGTCAGCCTGCTATAAAGCCAATAACTCTTTGGCAGGCAAACATGAACTGCTTCTAGCCACGTTCTCAGAAACTTTGTGCTCCGCTTCACTGACTTGCATCTGCACGCTCGTCACATCCAATGGGTTCTGTTGCATCGAAGGCGGTTAATTACTGTCAGTTCAGCCGATAAATAGCTGTTGGCTCCCCACCCGGAATTTGTTCTCATCATGAGTCAGTAAGCCTGCATTTCGGAGCGTCTGTATTCCATCGTACGGGCCTCGATCGCATTCTTCAACGGCTTTGTTTTGCTTTTACTTCAAAGACAGAAAAACATGGCAGAAACGGCCCAGTCCTCGAACACCCCGCAGCGTGCTGGCGAGCAATTTTTCAACGCCGCTGAAGGAATTGCTGCCGATGTAGGAGTTTATTTTAACCGGTGGTCCCCGAAATCGTTCTCACCAAGAACTCTAGGATGATTTCAGTGCCTACGAAGAAGCGGCACGATCCGATACTACTTCTCTCGCCTCAAGTGTGTTGAATTATCAGTATGAGAATGGACGACGCTACCATGCCTATAGCCAGGTAGGGTCTCTGTCTCAATATATTGTCCAGCTCGCTGACAATATGAACTGAAAAGGGAAAATACTTGTACCATCACCCGCAGCCTTCCAGGTTCACGCGACACCGTTTAGCTAACTGTGATAACAAGAATGCCCAATGATGATACTGAGCAGGACCGTCTTGACCTGGTATCATAGAGGCAGGCTTCTCCGCAAGAAAAGTGACTGCTAACTAGAAATACAGGTGCACCACATGTGAGTCGCGTCCTTTTACAACGGGCTGTTTTCCAATGATTATTGATCCTCTGAAGGTTTTTACTTATCCTTGACGGAGAACTTTTCGCTGCTCCCATCAAGCAACCGCAAGCGATCCTGGACTTGGGGACGGGCACAGGAATCTGGGCAATGGATATCGCTGAGTCAGGAAAACTGCTCCCCGTAAGAGAATTGCGCAGTTTTACTTACGGATTACCAGCGAATTCCCCTCAGCGCGTGTTATTGGCAATGACTTGAGTCCCATTCAGCCTGCGTGGGTTCCTCCAAACCTCGAGTTCGTTGTTGACGATTTCGAGAAAGATTGGATCTATGATGAAAACTACTTCGATTTCATCCATGCCCGGACACTTGCAGGGAGTGTCAAGGACTGGAAGTGGTTGATTCGCAAGGCATATAATCATTTAAAGCCCAATGGATACTTTGAGGCTGTTGAAATCGATGTCTGGGCATGGAGTGATGATAGCACCCTTAAGGATGATTCGCCGTACATGCAATACCTACGAAACCTACATGAAGCCGGGAACAGGACTGGAAGGAAGATGAACATTGCTCCCAATTTGAAGGATTGGATCAAGGAGACAGGATTTGAAGATGTTACTGAAAGTGTCTATGTGGTGCCACTCGGGCCATGGCCCAAGGACCCAAACTAAAAGAGCTTGGAAGATGGGCCTATGTCGGGAATCCTGATGCTGTTGATGCTTATGGTCTGCGTGTATACACGCAAGTTCTGGGATGGGAGCCCGATGCGGCAAAGATCCATCTGGCACTTGTCAAGGAGCAGCTCCGGGACAAGTCTCTGCATGGCTACAGCAAAGTGTAAGCGCGCTGGTCCTCTTGACTCCCCGCTGAATACGACTGCTGACTGTCACAAGCTACGTTGTCTACGGAAGAAAACCAGAACCCAAACCAACTGCTTGAGCTCTGGTGCATTGATGGAATTAGCCTGTGGATGGAACTCGGTTGTCTCTATCTTCTTCTCTCGATACTCTGCATGGCAAGAGTCCCATGAGACGACCCAAAGAAAGCTGTTAGCATAGCTTCTTAGATACAGCAGTTTCCGATCCTATCAATTCAGGATGTCTCTCCAGTAATAAAAAATAACTTCGGAGAAGAAAGACAAAATCGACCCGTACCTGTGGAGTAATAGTAGAAGTGCAAAGACTAACTCAGACGGCGGCTGCAGACGACTTAGGAGGACTAAGTTGATACTTTGTATGGCATAAGGTTATCAATCAGCTGAATAATAACTTATAATGTTATTGGTTCGCTGAATAGGAGGTCAGGCTTTCCACCTCCAGCTCCATGGGGTACCTACCAGGTCTTAGATTGCCAGGTGGCGGACTGTGGCTCAGATTATCGCTTGGGAGCAACATGATTATCATATTATGTGGTTGGGACACATAATCGCCAACTGCTCCGTCATACGGAGTTAGCCGGAGTGCTCCTGCTAGGCCACAGCCGCGACAGATCCACCCACACCTGGGCTATCTTGCCCTTGAGCCTAGGACAGAAACTTTTCAATTTTTTCACTTGAAATGAAATTACAGTAAATTTCAGTGCATTTTTCTTTAATGCAAAAGAAATTGCATAGCATGTGCAATGATTAGTGAAAGTAATCTCTTTTAAACAAATATTAGGTCAATAATATTAATATTAAAAATCTCTACTTTCAAGGCTAAGGTACTAAAAAGTGATTGAAAAAAAAAACTTCTGTTCTTAAAATTACTGAGAAAAGGCCATTTTTTATGAAATTGAATCCACTGCGTGCATCCACCTTGACTCCCACCTGGAAGCATTGACCATTTGTCAGATTGCAATTTCATACGGACATTAGGTACCTAACCATCTTAAGTTAGTTGCACATGGATCCACTGATTCTCGGGCAAGATGGCCCCTGGCCCGGGGGCCCACCAAGTACCTTACCTAGGTAGCTACCTGAGTCAATACATATCCGTATATCTGATCTGATGCTGAACGTATCCAATAAAAAATCAAGCAATGAGTGATGGAACGGCTAGGGTCACCGGTTGATGCCAATGCCAACGCATTGGTCCCATCCTGGGTGGAAGAGAATATAAATATGTGGTTCTTTCTTCATGATTGTCAACTTATTTTGTCTCTTCCTCGTCATTGTGTTTCTCAACCATTATATACCTTGTGTTTGTTGCTTAAACTTATTTACTCTCTCTCTTCTATTTATTGACCTTACACATACCAATCTTGGACATACGCTGAGACATTGTGTCCATCGTCATGGCCAACAATACGATCTCTTCGTCTACCAACGTCAACAGCTCCCTCTATCCTACCAGGAAGGAGGTCGCGTCCGGTATGGCTATGGGAGATCCTCCTTCCACCACGTCTACTACCAGCCAGATGAGCTCAGGAAGCGTTGACCATGCTGTGTTATCTCCCGAGAACAGCGACCAGGAAAGGAACCTGCAAACAGACGAGTATGTTCTTATCCACCCCCATCCATCCCAGATGTATGTACCATTCACGTGACCAACAATCTAACTATATAACATTCAGGCCTTTTTCTCCCGTCTGGAACACCACTCACAACCAGTATCCTCCTGGGACTCCATCAGAAGAAGACTTCATCCATGCAGGCTCATGGATCAATCAAGTACCCCAACCAGCAAATACGTCACACCGCCGGTCAAGGAGACACCGTCCCCAGACCCAGCTGCGAGCCTACCTCCGACAGGAACCCCACAAGGAGCCGTGGAATGCCTTCGTCGCCCAGAACAGAAACTAGCTCTGGAACGTGTTGTGCTCTGTTGCTATCTCATGACTGTATGGACTCTCTCGTTGATTTTCAGCGCATGTAAGATAAAGTGATGATGTGTGGATACTGCCAGTGATGCGCTACGATCTACATATGTCGATTACTATAGTGAGCGCCATGCCACGGGAACGGCTGCTTACTTTTTCGGGCTTATTATCTAACTAGTTCTTGGTTGTTATTTTTATTTTTTTCTCTTGTTTTTAATGTTACTTTTTTTCTTTTTATTTTTCTATTTTTCTTTTTTTACTTTTCTCTTACTTTTTTTTTTCTTTTTTTTTTTAAAAAAAAAACGAAGGGGTGGGAGAGGTAAAGTGGAGTAACAAGAAAGCATACAAATTACATGGTCGCATGAGCATCAAGTCCTTTAGGGCAGGTACCCAATTTGGAGGTTCTCGGTAATGCCCCTTTCTTTCTTTTTTTTCCCTCCATGATAGTCATTTCAGCGATCATAGCAATCATCAAACAGTACCTAGCATTCTTATGCCTAGAAGTACCTAGAAAGATTTGACTAGCCACGTGACTATTCAATCGGCGCATTACTTAACTGCACTTTTGGGCATAGATTTGCGCCCTTGGTCAGCTTTCACTCTTAAATGGGCTCCCAGATGAAAGGATGAAAATGATGAGATGGATGGTCCTTTCTTCAGTATCGTTGGACTCGGATGAATATCTGCCAAGTTGAATTTCGGTGAGAAAGAGAAACGAATTCTTGTCCAGAAGCTTAATTGCAGAGTAGTTATGATTATTCCTTAACAGTGGATACAGCAGTGACGTTAAGAATATTGATCGTCAGCATTGAAGATTTTGTTTCGTGGCTAGTATGCCCCCGCTCCACCGTACAGAGTACGGATACGGAGTACCGAGTAAGGTACTCTCAATGACCAGCGGACTCCGTATTTACTGCATAAGTCCGGAGGTAAGTGGCTCACGAAGTTGCTTATGCGATCCATCATAAAATCAATACAGACCTGACTTGTGCCTTTATTTGATGAGTCAGCCTTGTGGAAATTCTACCTATTTCCACAAGAACAAAGTCCTCCAATGTTCCAGAGTCAAAAAGCTTTCATTCGACGGGGGTAAGTCTGCCAAATCAGCTTCCGACTGCTGTTGTCTGCGCTGTAAGCGCCTCGCGATGGGAAGTCTCGCTGTTGTTCGCCATTAGGACTGTCTAATAATCTCTTTCAGGTCCTCTTGGCCAGCAGAGTTACCCTAACCCTATGCCTAAGCATCGCCTGGGTGCAGAAAATGTGCCTTCGATAAGCCTCGACACTGAAATTCAATTGTTCAGATCCAGAAGGCGGTGTATAAGGCGGTGTACAGTTTACTGACAGAATTTCCAAATGTCCACGTGACAGCTCACCATCGAGTCTCCTTTCTCCCTTCAAGTATACTGGCTTCACCGCCATCACGTCTTAGTTCCCTGTGCTCAAACAAACATCACCACCTTTGTTTGAGATACGAATTACCCGTTCCTTCGTCGCCAACTGTATTCCAGTACGCCATCAGGGAGTCACTTTGGAGTCTTATATCGACCACAATCAAGGACAACAAATACTATATGGAGAAGGTACAACTACTCTCGTTTTCAGCAATTTCTTTGAGTTCACTTCCCAGATATCTGACATTTGTTTGAATAACTAGGTACACATTGGCCGTATTTGCGTAGAACTTTACGACAGATTTATAGCCTGAAACTCAATCATCGGGGTAAAATCCTGAAAAATCGATACTGAAGAACTTAGGAAGTACAGAATCCTTGCTTGTTTTGAAATTGCACCACTGATCGCGAATCGTGGCATTAATGACGGAAATCTGGACTATTTAGCAATCCTGGATGAAGTGTCGAAGTCTTCGCGTTACTGACCATATCTCCTGCTGTGATCTCTCTTCTAAACTGGTAGTTTTGAATGGTCACTTAGCCCGTTGCTTCCCTCTGTCACGCCTGACCCGATAACGATAACCACCCTGGATAAAATAGGCTCTGGACGGACCATCCGAACGCTCCTCTTTATACAAATCAACATACACCCGAATTCCTCTGCTGTCCTTGTAGTACCATCGCTGCTGTGAGTCACTGAAATGTACCATCACATCACCGCCGCGTTGCCAAGGAAGCTCACTGTGTAATTGAGGTTTGTCTCCGAGAGTCAGCCGACTAGCGAGGCTTTCTAGGTCAGCCATTGATGCTAATTCTTGGGCCTGTTTATGGGTTGAAGCTCGACTAGTGGAAATGTCTCCTCGCTGGGCCGAGTATGGCTTTGAACTATCCTCTTCCGATGAGCTACTAGGGGATTCGTCTGAGACATAGTCATGCTGGTCAAATTTGAAGTCCTGTCCGACGACCCAGGTATTAAGTTTCATGGTGTTCATGGCAGTTTTCTCACCGCAGGCCAGATCAATGAAATAAAGAAAGCACTCTCTCAGGGAGACCCTCTGGCGATAAAGGGCAGGGTTTGACAGATCTTGGCCTCGACCACTAGGGCCTGGTACCCCCCGCGACTGCGTATCATGCAGGATTACCGGAGAATGCCAAAGAACCCACCTCCCTTTTCTGGTTGGATGCTTATCCTGTTTCAAGAAGATCGCCTGTTCGTAGGTCGTCAGGAAACCATACTTGCTCTGGGTCAGATACATGTATCTGGCTATCTGGCCTAAGCAATGGTAGTATGTCAGCACTTTGATAGATGGGTAAAGCATAATATTCGTTGAGTCCCACCGAGATCTTTCCTAAAGTCGCCGGGCGCTTCCTGTACGCTTCCTTCAATGTCATGCATCCAAGGCGTTTTTGCTTCGCCACAAAAAGCAGTCTCGCTTTGCTATCCATGATGGCAATGTCGGGGACCTTGGTGAAACCTGACTGAGGAACGGCTGACTTGAAATCTCCGAAACGGATGTCGGCTCCCTTGCAAGCCCGGATCACCGATGTCATGACGTGACCAACATTCTGGCCAAACCGCGCAACCACAGAATGCTCATCCCCGCAGAAAAGTTGCTCATTTTTGACATGACATGAGTTGTCATCATGATCATCTGGGGCATAGTCAAGAATGGTGCTGTTCCAGTTGACCGATAAGAAGTGCTGGCGCGCGTCTCGCTCGAATCGGGACCAATAGCCCAACGTTGACGCGAAGCCAAGCTTGTGGGTTGAACCCGATGTAGTATGATGATCTGTGCTTAACAGGTCAGGGATCCGCTGCTGGATGAGAGTTTTTCCTGTCAAACTACAGGGAGCCATTAAGAACTTTGGTGCTTCAATGTGCAATACAAGTGTATATGTAGTGAGAGAAAGTGTGACAAGAAAGGATGACAGATAAACGAGATTGAAGAGGCGCACTTGGAAGACTTTATAGAAGCTAAGAACTAAATATAATATCACTGACGAAGCCCAGAGAGCTGCGCTATCAGATGCACGACGTGCAACCATGTTCAATCAAAACAGCCATAACAGCTCCCTCAAACGACCAGACGACCACCCTGGATTGAGAAGTAACCCAACGCTCTTGCCAGCATGCTCCTATAGGTTCAAGATGAAACAGGTTGTGCTGTTAGCACTTCCCTTTGGATCTAGATGCGCTGAGTTGGCTTTTAGTGGGCATCTTTTCTAAAAAATACAGATTAAAGGTGGTCCAATCGTAGCGCGATTACAAGCCTTTGCTCAGGTTAGCCGCCCATGGAGGTCTGCGCAGCCGCCCCATGAGTTTCCTCGGCGGTTAGTAAATGAGAACTCCTACCCATAAGTACAGTCGATTTTGAGCATGTGCCAAGATTGAGGCAATCGCATCCCTTGCGCTCGTCATAATCTTTTCTTGAGCCCAACACAAGCCTTCGGTTGTCGCTTGATGGCATCTCATCTCCCCGTTGACAATGATGGACGGCAATCATTCGGGAGTCACTTGGTTCGATGAAGACAGGTGGATCGGATCTGAAGTCACGTTTGGGGAACCCCACCCATCAAGATGGAGGCTCAACCGGAAACTTGCTGAAAGTGAAGATTGCGCTACTGAATCTGATGTCAAGGAGTGTATGATGGCCTCTGAAGCCCGCGGTGTCTTTGTGTGTTCGAGTATTGATGATCCAACCCAAGAGGCTGTGGTTAAGATTCGGATGCAGTATGCTTCCCTGGTCTTAGGCCCACGGTTTTCATCGCCTAACCGGTTTCATTTAGGATACCATACTTCAGCACAGCATTCAAGTCTCGTCAAGCGAGGGCAAGGCAGGCAGAGCCGGACATGAGGGTAACGTCACAAAGAGAGGTCAGCGCCCTTGAACATCTGACTGCAGTAGGTTGTT